CAGACTACTGCACTGGGCTGCACAGTTTGGGGAGAAGGTGAGCAGGCCTTAGGAGTGAAAGAACAGGTTAGGGACTATTTAGAAGAGCTGGATGTGTACAAGTCCACAGGGCTGTATGGAATGCATCCAAAGGTACTGAGGGACCTGGCTGATATGATTGCAGAGCTCCGGGCCATTATCTTTAAAAACTTGTGGTGATTGGGAGAGGTCCTGGATGATTAGAAAAGGGTAAATATAGTGCCCATCTTTAAGAAAGAGAAGAAAGAGGGTCCAGGGAACTACAGACCAGCCAGCCTCACCTCAGTCCCCAGAAAAAAACATGGAGTAGGTCCTCAAAGAATCCATTTCTAAGCACTTGGAGAAGAAGGTGATTAAGAACAGTTAGCCTGTATTCACCAACGGCAAGTTATGCCCGACCAACCTGACTGCTTTCTATGATGAGATGACTGCCTCTGGATGCAGGGAAAGTAGCGGATGCAATATACCTTGATTTTATCAAGGCTTTTGATATCATCTCCCACAGCGTTGTTGCAAGTGAGCTGAGGAAGAATGGGTTGGATGAATGGACTATAAGGTGGACAGAATGCTGGCTGGATTGTCGAGCTCAACAGGTAGTAATCAACAAGGACAAGTGCAAAGTCCTGCACTTAGGACAGAAGGATCATCACTATAGCCTGGGGACTGACCGGCTAAGCAGCAGCTCTGCAGAAAAGGACTTGGGGGTTACAGTGGACAATAAGATGGATACGAGTCAGCAGTGTACCCTTGTTGCTAAGAAGGATAACAGCATACTGGGCTGTATTAGTAGAAGCACTGCCAGCAGATTGAGGGAAGTAATTATTCCACTCTATTCTGCACTGGTGAGGCCACATCTGGAGTAGTGTCCATTTTTGCCCCTCCCCCCCACTATAGAAAGGATGTGGACAAGTTGGAGATAATTCAGTGGAGAGCAACGAGAATGTTTCAGGGACTGGGGCATATGATTTATGAGAGGCTGAGGGAACTGGGTTTATTTAGTCTGCAGAAAAGAAGACTGAGAGGGGACTTGATAGCAGCCTTCAACTACCTGAAGGGTGGTTCTAAAGAGGATGGAGCAAGACTATCCTCATTTGTGACAGATGACAGAACAAGGAGCAATTGTCTCAAGTTGCAGCAAGGGAGGTTTAGGTTGGATGTTAGGAAAAACTCTCTCACTAGGAGGGTGGTGAAGCATTGGAACGGGTTACCTGCAGAGGTGGTGGAATCTTCACCCTTGGAGGTTCTTAAGACCTGGCTCAACAAAGCTTTGGCTGGGATGATCTAGTTGGGGATGGTCCTGCCTTGAGCAGGGGGTTGGACTAGCTGACTTCCTAAGGTCCCTCTCAACCCTAATCTTCTATGATTCTATGACCCCTGCACTTAAACTGCTTGGAAGCTGCTTGATATGTTAACTTGATGAAGCTATTGTTTGCTGCTTAAATTCCATGTCTTTGTCTCTCTTCAACAACCTGCATGTCTGGATCAGTGGGATGCAGCCACTGCAAAACAGACCATGAAAACTAAGAGTTTACCAAACAGTTAACTGTTATTTAATTAACAGGGTACAAAGCAGTAGCACTGGGCTCCACTCAAATTTATGGGAAGATTTTCAGCTAAAGTGAATGAAAAACAATATAGATGGCAGAAAAGCCGCGATACGTTCATATACATTACCTCTGATTGTTATTTGCAAGACAATGTTAGAAATAAACCCTACCTGCAATAGTTGGTTAGTTTAAAAAAATAGTGCAAGGAAGTTAGATATGTTTCTGGTACCTTTGATTAATAACTTGCTACCCTTTAATGAATGCCTAATGAAAAAAGTCCACTGTAAAAGGTAAAATTTACTTTTTTTTTTTTTTTTTATTAAATAGCTCTATGGGATCTTAAGTATAAAAAATATTCGATTTAAAAGCTCTTATTCCCAAGGGGGAAAAAAAAGATATTTAGAAAATTTACTCAATAAAGAATAACCTTTAATTTTACAGCTAGGATTAGTAAGCATTTATATAGTGCTGGCCATGTTCAAAGTACAGGGCACACATTACACAATTTTTTAATCTATTTCCTGTCCAGAAATCTTAGCTTTCCCTTGTTATAATGGTAGGTAAGCAAAAATTCAAACAAATGTTATTATTACAACAACAGTGTCTCTTTAAACAACTATGTCAGTAGTCTGAGCCTGGGGTAGGTAACCTCTGGCCCATTGGCTGGATCCTTACAGTTCTTGGAACACTGGATCTGGCCTGCCGAGGTGGGACTTCTGTGGTGCCTGGCGGTAGGGGCTTTGTCTGCACCACACCGCAGCCAGAGCCTTCCAGTCCTGTGTCATTGCCAGGTGGCAAAGAGAAGCTGTGGCACCAGCCGGGTCCTAGCACTGGCCTACTCTGGACCTGAGTTGGGTCATTTTGACCTGACACTCGGAAACGTTGTTGACTGCTGGTCTAAGCAAAAGAGCAGTGAGAAGAATATCTTAATTTTTTTTGGTTTTTTACAGTAAATATCTCCCATCTATATATTGAGAACCTGAGATATTTTAGTATTAATTTAAACGCCTCACATAGCGACTCATGGTCCGCGGGAGTGAGAAGGCTTGTGTGTAAAGATCTTCTGAGTCCAAATTCCAGCTGTCACTTATTCACTGTTTTTTACAAGTTACTTCACTTCCCTGCCTCAGCATCCCCAGCTTTAAAATGGGGAGAATTAGACTGCTAATTTTCAGTTTGAGTGTCTAACAGTCCTTTGGGTATAGTCAGTCAGTTGCCCACTACTCTTCCACAATGGAATAAAGGAAAAAAAAAAAGAAAAAAAAAGAAATGCATGTTCAATATCTAAACTAGCAGTGTTCAACCTTCTCCCTAGGCAGGCCAGATTGGCAGTGCCCAGTCTGTCCACCGGTCAGATTTGGCTGGTGGTCCTGATCTGGAGCCTGGGGCAGGCCAGCCCCAATGTGGCCCCACAGAGGAAAGGCACCTGACTTGGCCCTGTTAGGGGATGGGGACATGGCCTAGCCCCAACTAAGCCTCGTGAGGGAAGGCGGCATGGTCAGGCCTCCACCTGGCCCCACAGGCAGAACGGGGTATAGCTGGGCCTCAACCCAGCCTCCCAAAAGGAAGAAGTGTGGCCCAGCCCTGATCCAGACATGGAGGTAGGGGGTGCAGTCAGCTCCAACTGGCAGCATGGGACTTGGGAATTTGGCAGGGAGCAGGGTGGCATCTTAATGGCTGCTGCTCCCTCTCTGCCAAATTTCCAGATTCCTGTGGAGCCCTGCAGGCCAGGGGTTGTACACCCCTGTTCTAAATTATAAAATCCTGACAAAGGGGAGTCAGGGGCATGCTGAACTTAGAACTAACAGCTGTTTTTTAAGTATGTTAGTTAATAAATTGACCTTCTTTGTCTTGTTCGCTAGATGAAAACGTTTTAAATATAGCCTACCAATTAACCAAATACCGGGCACAGTGAAAAGTAAAACACTGAAGCCATTTGAAAAAAATGCATTCAGACAGTAAAGAAGTGGATGGAACTTTTGTGTAGTAAAAAGGGCCAGAAAACAAAGATTAAGAGTACTGGTATTTAAAATGTCTGTGTATATGCAAAAGCATTACAAGTCACAAAAAGCACAAATACAAAAGTTTACACTGTCCCCTGTATATCCAATGTCACTGCTCAGAAAGTGGTCAAGTTTCCTCTCAGAGAGTGAAATTATACACCAGTGTAAATTACAATAGTGTATCAGTGGGGAGAGATCTTCTCCCCTCCTTAATTTGGGGATTAAAATGGGGTAGCCATCTGGTCAAGACAAACTGGCTCTATGCCACCTAGTGGGCAGGCATATAAGCACCTACTGCAGGAAGCCAGTTTGGGAGCTGATCATGATTTGTCAAATTTACCACTAAGAAAACGTGGGGTAAATTTCCCTACATAAATTGTCATGCATCTGTAGCTTCAAAAGGATAGGGTAGAAAATTTTACTTAGAAAGAAAATTAAAATGGTTCTCTTGCCCTCCTTTTGAAAATGATTACAGTTCTACTCAGTAAAACCTTGTCCACTGCATAAAGGATCACTACTATTTTAATGATTCCTAAATAAGGTCAGACAAAAGCCTTTGTGATTCTAATGTGACAATGTCCTTTTCAATTCATTTTTAAGACTTTCTAGATTTCAAGTGTGTGGTGTTCTCCCCAGTGGAATGCAGAAACCTAAATGGAATAATATCTGCCACTTTTATGAAAAGCCTGGTAAAAATCTGGTAAAAGTCACAAAATAACATTTTGCAAATTGGAAAAAATTAAAGTACCCTTCCCTTAGAGATGCACTTAAACCTGAAACGTAAGAACATTGCACAGCAAGACATCTCAGTTCAGCCTTTAGTTATTTTTGACATGTTATTCTGCATTTAGGGTAGGAAGTGGGGGGAGGAGGGGAGACAGAAAAAGCCACATGTCTGGACGTTTTGCAATAGCCTGCATCGGTGAAAGCCAAAACAGAGCCCTAAGCTAAACTGCACTGGACAGGAATAGCTTGGTTCCTGATTCATTTTTAGGTACATCAGCAGCAAAGACCTTTAAGAATTCTGAGACAACTGAGAAATTTGTAACTGGTGCTCAACAGAGTGGATGTAAGAAAAAAAGTATTACACCTGCTCCAAGAAATTTTAGCAAAGAATCAAACAATAGCTTGGGAAAGCCATGCTCAGCGTTTTAAAGTTAAGATTTTTTTAGAAGTAGTTGAGGCATAATAATACATCACCTATTAAAGCCCCAAATTAAACATTCAGGCCCCAATCCTGAAACTTGTTTGATTTGGATTGACGTCTGCACCTTCATGGTAAACCCATGAAATTAATGAGGCTCCATGCAGACCAAGACCACCAAGCACAAAACAAGAAATATCAAGATGAGGACCTTTAATATTATACAAAATGCATTTTCTATGAAAATAATTCAATTTGATAACAAAAAAATTTATAACTCAAGATTACCTTGCCTGTGAATCATTCCTCCATGCATAATTCTTGCAACAATGCAATGGTTCAGCTCATTCATTTTTAAAGTGATACCCTAGTAAAAGAAAATGTTTAGACCTGCTTCTTGAGTTGTTAAGAACAGTCACTTTTGCAATAAACTTGAGAAGGAACCCTAACTTTTATAGTGAAATCCTGGTCCTATTGAAAACATTAACTGACTTCAGAAGCATTTGGATTCTAAATGTATTTATTAATTTTACATTTTTTCCTCTTATGTTAGGTTCCTCTCATAAGCCACAATTAATGATGAATTATAGTTAATTCAATGCGCCAAAATTCTGACAATGCAATGCTTTTTATCCAGTTTCTATAGTACTTCAAGATGGTAACTACTAGACAAACCATCAGTAAGAACTACTATATTATTAAAACAAAATTTCTTATTAAATTGCAAACTTTCCTATGCCATTTTAAAATTTAAGACCTGGTCTATACACAGTTTTTGTGCCACTGTAATTATTTCAGTGAAGGGTATGACTTTTATTAAAAAACAAAAACAAAAAACAAACAGTTACAGTAGTACAACCTCTATCATGGTACACATTGCATTACTATAAATTAGGAGTGACCAATATCTGGCTTCCCACAGAGGAATAAGTTATACTAATATAAGGCATTATTTTATTGGCATGACTGTGTCCATACTATGCTGTCTGTTCTTCTTTTGCTACACTTTTATGCATAGACAATATGGTTTGAAATGACTAAGGGTAGGCAGTTTGTCATCTCTTCATTTTCAAAGAATCAAGGAAAAACACTGCGTGTGGGCCACATACCATTGGTTCGTCTGTGTTCTTCTGGAACTGCACCAGACGGACTCGTGTTACATTCTCCATATCCATATCACCGTTGGCGCTCTCAGGAGAATCTCCGTTCAAATAGGGAGAGGTGGGAGGAGGTGTAACTCTCAACGCTTCATCACTGTAAACTTCATGTGCCACTACGTCATGAGTTTGAAGTAAGGCCTATGGAAAATAGAGTAAGATCTTTATCATTGTATCATTTCCTCCAGAAGCTACAGGATACTCACATTATTCTCCCACTTTAAAGAGGACGTTTTATCTTGTCTTCAATAACATATGTAGTTTATAAGACTGCATTTTGTGTGTGCATATGTGCACTTGTACCTAACTTTTCAAGTCCATATGCAAAAAATTAGGCTCCTGTGCATATACTTAAATGTTAATGGCTTGATTTTTAGGATCTCTCAAGAATTCCTCCAAGTCTAACTGAAATCACTGGGAATAGCAGGGACACAGCAAATTTCAAATCAGGTTATCTTTATTTAGATGTGGGAGTCTGAACATTTAAGTCACACACCTATACAAGTGTCATTTTTCCCAACACTGAGATGCAAGTGAATTTTAAGATGTCACACGTTGGCAACATTAACTGTACAGATCAACACTATAAAACTATAAGGAAAGGAAGTGAACTCCATGAATTCCACCACTTTATCTGAAACAGCAAGAGATATGCCTGTTCAGGTCATAACACCAGCTGGAACTGACCAGGGGATGGGAGTAAAGATCTTTACTGTTGAGAGATCAGCCAGTCTGGATGACTACAAGCTGTCTGGCCCTTCATTTTACATTTTTTCTGAGGATGTCGCCTCTGACATTCGCAATAGTATCCTCTAATACTATGCTGAGCACCTATGGCAGGATCTCTCCTACTGAGTCACCAACATAATTTTTATTTCCTCTTCAACAGGGAGTTAATCTAGCACAATCCCATCTAGCTTGACACCTGATAAAATCATAGGCTGAGACAGGAAGTTTTTTAAGGGCTTAAATATCATTTTTATGCACACTTCCTGCTGTACTGTGCTGTGTCACATACTTGATTAAATTTATCTGAATGTACTTCATAAGCATAACAATTATGCCTCTAATTACTTTCAGATGTAGCATCAAAACCATTAAGCCCATGTAATTGTTAAAAGTGAAATACATTATTAGCAGATATAATTTAGATAAAAAGTAAACATTTGCCAAGTACTTGAAATATCTTTAACAACAGGTTTTCTTCCTAAGACATGAAATCCCTCTTTCATTCAGGGCATCTCCAGAGCATTGAAGAGCCTCTTCATTTCACATTTATGTTTATAACCTTACTAGCCTACATTACAGCCAGCTCTCTCCTCCCAAAGACTGGATAGGATTTACCACTGAACCAGTCAGTATTGTTCATGCACTCTCTCAAGAGCTGCTGATTAGAGAGAAGAATTATCTTTCCACAAGACTTGTGCTGCTGAATCAGGACTGACAAACCAAGCTTCATCCTCCCAAAGCAGTATGATGTACCAGTCACTGTAACAGACTGGCTAAACAATACTGAACTGGAGTGTGTTGTGCCACCACTTAAACTCCCAAGTTGTTATACCCACAAATCTCTTCCAGAATGTACAAAAATACCTGGCTTAACCATGGCTCTTTTCTATACAACAATATGTGCTGTTTGCCCACATTTGTTAGCTTGTTTTTGGTCTCTCTGGATCATATCTAAATCTTAGACGACAGAGATCCTGGAGGGACCCTCGGCTTTCTGCCAGGTCCCCCGGGAGACTCTGTTCAATTATTTCAGCAGGGTCTTCAACCCCCCAGCAGAGGCCGCCGCCCCACGCCCTGTGACCGTCGAAGGGCTGACCCCCATCCCTCCGGCAGAGGGGTTCGAGGAGGCCTTCACGCTGCAGGAAGTGGAAGCCTGCCTGAAGACGACCAGGGACACCACCCCTGGCAGGGACGGTATCTAGTAAGGTCTCCTCAAAAACCGTGACCTGGGCTGCCTTGTTCTGTTCTCTTCAACAGGTGCAGAGAGTTCTGATGCATGCCCACTGCCTGGAAGAGGGCCATGATGGTCCTCATCCACAAGAAGGAAGACCCGACTGACCCGGGCAACTGGAGACCTATCGCCCTGTGCTCCACAGTGGCCAAGCTGTATGCCAGCTGCCTGGCGGCCCGCATCGCCGACTGGGCGGTGAACAGCAGGGCTGTCAGCCAGAGCCAGAAGGGCTTCATGTCGATGGAGGGCTGCTACGAACACGACTTTACCCTCCAGATGGCCCTGGACAATGCCCGGAGGGCCAGGAAGCAGCATGCGATGGCGTGGCTGGACATCTCCAACGCCTTCGGCTCTGTGCCCCACCGCCACATCTTGGGCACCCTCTGCGAGCTGGGCTTACTGGACGGCATCATCAACCTGGTGCGAGAGCTCTACCACGGATGCACCACGACTGTCCACGCCACCGATGGAGAGACCACGGAGATCCCCATCCAGTTGAGGGTGGTGGGCGGCCCCGGCGGGCTTGACCTGTACGGCCAGAAGTTGAGCATCCTGGCCTATGCCAATGACCTCGTCCTCCTTGCCCCCGATGCCACCCAGCTGCAGCAGATGCTGGATGTGACATCTGAGGTGGCCAGGTGGATGGGCCTGCGCTTCAATGTCGCCAAATGCGCCTCCCTGCACATCGACGGCAGGCAGAAGAGCCGCATCCTGGACTCCACCCTCATGATCCAGGGCCAGGCGATGAGGCACCTGCGCGACGGCGAGGCCTACTGCCACCTGGGGATGCCCACCAGCCACTGGAGGAGACCATCACTGGGATTGAGCAGGATGCCCACAAGCTGGACTTGTCCCTGCTGGCCCCCTGGCAGAAGACAGCCGCGGTGAACACCTTCCTCATCCCCCGCGTTGTGTTCATCCTGAGTGGCTCGGCAGTCCCCAAGACCCCCTTCAAGAAGGCGGACACAGAGATCCGGCGGCTGCTCAAGAAGCGGCTGCACCTGCCGCTACGGGCCAGCAACGAGGTCCTGCGCATCCCCGACCGGCAAGGAGGCACCAACATCCCCTGCATGGGAGACCTCTGCAACATCGCGGTGGTCACCCACGCCTTCCGCCTCCTGACCTGCCCTGACGTGACGGTAAATACCATCACCGACAGCGCCCTCAAGGAGACTGTCCGGAAGAGGATCACGAGGCAGCCGACTGGACAAGACTTGGCCACCTTCCTCAGTGGCTCACTGGAGGGCAAGTTCTGCCGAGACAGCGGGGACTTTGCCTGGCTGTGGAGCCAAGCCCGCAATGCCACGCACCGCCTCAGGAAACGCATCAGCTGCACCTGGACCTGGACTGAGGAGTGCCGGGAGCTGGGAGTCTCCCTGAAACCAGCCCCGCATGCCGACTGCATCCTCATGCGGGGCGTCAGGGTGACCTTCCTGGAGAGGTTCCTGAAGGATGCTGTCTGAAACAAGTACGCTGGCGACCTGAGGGCCAAACCCGACCAGGGCAAGGTCTTTGACGTCACCTCGAAGTGGGACGCTAGCAAACACTTCATGCCCAGCGGGAGCTTCATGTGCTTCGCAGACTGGCACTTCCTCCACCGTGCCTGCCTCAACTGCCTGCCTCTGAACGGGGCCGTGTGCTTTGGCCACCGGGACAAGAGGTGCCAACAGTGAGGCTATGTGACCGAGACCCTCCCCCACGTGCTGTGCAGCTGTAAGCTGCACGCCAGAGCCTGGGAGCTCCGCCACAACACTGTCCAGGACCGCCTGGTGAGGGCTATCCTGGCCGCGGCGGGGGAGATCTCCATGAACCGCACTGTCCCGGGCTGCGAGAGCCAGATGCGACCCGATACAGTCATCACCAACGAAGAGGCCAAGAAGGTTGTGTTCGTGGACGTCACCATCCCCTTCGAGAACCGGTGCCAAGCCTTCACCGACACCCAGGCTCGCAAGCGGGAGAAGTATGCCCCGCTGGCCAACACCCTGAGGGGCCGCAGCTACGACGTGACGGTCAACGCACTCATCGTGGGAACACTCGGAGCCTGGGACCCCAGCAACGAGAGCATCCTGTGCGCCTGCAGCATCTCCCGCCGCTACGCTAAGTTGATGCGCTGCCTCATGGTGTCCGACACCAATCCGTTGGTCCCGCAACATCTACGTGGAACACATCAGGGGCCACTGCCAGTACTCTGACCCCACCAGACAAGCCGCCGCCGGACCAGACCCGGAGGGGACTGCCTAAACCGCCCACTCCCCCCCTCCGTGCCAGATGGACCTTCACTTCACTCCGAGAGGATTCGTCGACCACGGATGACCCCGCTCCACCCGAAGAGGACCCCCACAATGAGACACTATACGGACTGAGGCACTTCCTCCGAACCACTTCCTTCACCACTGCGGACCATTGTAATGGGTTTGTGTGCATCTATCTCCTTTCTCTCT